CGAAATGGCCAAAAAGGGCAACCATGCTCTGTAGAACGAGTTGTAGCAATTAAGCGAAGCAGGAAATGGTATGCAAATATGCATGTCTATATGCTAATTAGGCTTTCCAGGTAAAACTGCCAACAGTACTTGGGGGGCTAGACGTGAAGTTCGAAAAACGGTTTCCTACTAGTTCCACGGATTAAGAGACTGCTATGTGGTAGAGCTAAACAATGAGACATCGCCGACAGTGTAAAACATTTTAATTCAAGTTGTTCACAAAGTCTATTCAACTTTCCTGAGTGTCTACTGATTCCGCTAACTGCCAAACAGTGTATCCGTCCAAATACATGGTAAATGCCATTAAAAGCTTTATGTTATTTGTTCATGCACTACCTTCCATTCGGTAGGCATTGAGTCACTTGAATTATTAACCGGCATTCCTAAATGTCTCTTATTTTTTAAATGGTTCGGTACGACAGGGCTGCAGTAATGCTTCTCGCCAAATGCAACAATATGATTGATGGACTTTTTATCTTGGTTTTTTTGGACATTATTTTGATTTTACGTATGCATATTTGAAAACGCACATAATCATTTTGCTCCTTGCTTCTCGTTTAGAGTACGGACGTCTTTCCTTGCAAAACATTCTCGATGTTCCCTTATCATTTAAGTGGATACGCCTTCTACGGCTTCTGACCACTACTTATTTCAACTTTTAAAGGTTCAGCATGCCTTTCAAAGGAAGGGTTTTTGCGATTGTAGGCAGCATCTGTGGATAAAACGATTCATGCGTTCGGTGTGTCGTGACAGGCAAGTGTTCCGATTTCACATGTTTTTCATCAGTGCTTTATAACTTTTACTGCCAGTAAACTGTCTCTACCCATTAAGTTGAGTCTGTTATCCTGTCACTGTCAGAGAGTGAGTGCCGCGTAGGATCTCAAAGGTTAATTTTTATGGTTCCACAAAGGATGGGTTGCCTTCTGAGAGACGTTGATTGTTTCTATGTGCCACATTTGAGGGTTAGACAGTTTCCGACATTTTGCGGGAGATGCACTGGGTAAAAACGAGGGTCAGTAACGGAGAAAAATTGTGCTCCTGCACATTTTTTGCTGTGAGATAACCAAAGGGGCCACATCAGTCTACGCCGTGCCATAGTCCTGCCTAGTGGCCCCTTATATCTCCGCCATAGTTTACTCCGAAGCCACTAGACAGAAGGCGCTAGGTAGGACTGGTACTGGCCGAATTGCCAAATCTTTTCAATCTCTTAAATATAATCATGCTCGATTACTAGATTCTTAGGTAACCTCTAGGTAATTTAGCTTAACACAAAAGTCGCGGTACTAAGCCCCATATATTCTCCTTTTTTATCGATACTATGCTTTTAGTTATCCCTTCGGAAGGGCATTTTCGATGGCTTAGTTTAGCAAATATAGATGTGCTTAAAGATTAAAAAAATAATAAAAATAAAATAATAATAATAAAATATCTGGACCTCCTTGGCCTCTTTGGTATTTTTAGTTAACAAAAATAGCCGTTCAGTCACAAACCAGATAAGACTTAGGACGTGAATAATGACCTATGATGCTGTTCCACTTTACCGCTTATGTATTTCCAGCATTCATTCCTCATATATTTTTGTTTCTTGTGGGGTCAAAGTGCATCGCGTTTTTAAATCGAAACTGGCCTTCGGTTAAAGTTTTCTTCGTGTAAGGTTGGTTCGACTTTGCGTACCGCTGTGTATGGGTGCCGTCTCGTCCCTCCGTCTACTTGCTCCCCGTTCACCCTCCCTCCCCAAGCCTTTAGGAGGTTTGAAAACTTTACTTCCTATCTCGGCACCTCTATCAGTCCTGCCTCTCTGACTGATTATGTTCACCTATTCCGTCCCGTATGCCACCACACTTTTACCTTTACACAGTCCTTCGGTAGCCCCTTTACTTACATTTTCTTGTTCTGCATATTTCCTTTGAGACCTCAGGGAATGTGGTTAATTGTCTTCCCTTTATTCCGATCTTTCCTGTACACCACTACTTCCCTTTTGATGCTTGTATTATGACTGCCAGGAAGGAGGACACTATTTCTTACGTGAGCTGCCTACCACCTCGGCATGCCCTGGTCACATCTAATACATTAACTTTGGGCCAGAAGCACCGGAAAACGTTGCACCGCTCCATTCTTCTTCAAGTCGTCGACCTTACTCCCTTTTATTCATTAATTTTGCTACGGCTATTGGTGGTTCAGTATGGAACTCTATGTATGGTTTTGACTGCTTGACTCTTATGAAGGTCTGCCGACGCGTTGTTGCTGTACGTAGATAAACCAAAGGCCGATATCTGGGAGAAGTAGATGGCCGTAACTGACACGGTACGTGGATAATTATTTGTCTTGAATATCTGCTATTGTTCTACTCAGCCAAAAGGACGAACAACAGATTTCCTTTTCGTGATTACGGTGCCCTGTGGACAGGAAAGCATTGCTGTCTACTGACACCAGATTGTCGAACGACCAGGTCAGAAATTATGCTAGTATCAATATAAAACAGCACACTATACCTTTTTCGAAACATTTTTATCTCACGCATCTAGATAACTGCTGTTTCCCATGATTCCATCACCGCACTCTCCCCCAGTGGTTTAACGGATACTTTTAGACCACCTCCTACTCCAGATAAATCGGTGGCATGCGCAACGTTATTTCCATTAGTATTGCTGTATCCACTCTTCATGATACATCCTACTGATTTTTCGTAACACGACTTTTATACGTCTCGTTCTCCTTTTTATCATATCAATAGAGGCGTATTTGGCGTGATGCCTGACGACTCATTTCAGTGTTTGTATGGCAGGAAAGCTACTCCCGGATGCTGAATCAAATCAGATGTTTGTCGTCCTAAACATAGCTGACTTCTACATTGGTAGCAGCGGTGGAATGGGAGGGAACGCCGGATATTTTCGGTAACACGCGGTCACACCATTCCCATCCTCAATTTCCGCGAAGTCTTCAGACCATCCAAACCACTCAGTCAGATCTGTGGTGCGTTAGACGTACGGAGAAGTCTGGGGTACCGCAATGGCAAAATATTGGTTTACTTAAATCAGTATAGAATAACAGAAGCACTTTCTCGTCACATGCTCAAAATGAAGATGCCGCCCTATCTGGTGGGTTGTGTTTGACTGATCCACGTCAATCTCTGAAGGCGGGGCTTCGAAAGGAGGTCGCCTGTGCGGTCGCTTGCAATAATTTAGGGGTGAAAAAATTTAAACTGCTGTAAACCGTACTTCTGGAAACGCTTATCTAACAAGGTTATTATGCCCTAAACTTAGTAAGGACTAAATTTTGTCAGTCCCTAAAGGCCACTTTGACCTCTCTGTAGGCGGGTTTTTGATCGAACGGAGCCTCATCGCCTAGGCTATGCTATTGCATGCCTTTGCTGCAAAAACACGTTCTACAGGCGCACACTTAGTTCGTGCAAATTATGAGTCTTATTTTGCCTACGTAATAGAATAAAGCAAAGTTGCGTATGGTCGAGGTTGTCGAGGCATCGGGTATATATCGAATTTTCGAGATGCGGACATCGAATTGACGGTGATTTTGACCGTTAAACGGATACCGCCTCGATATCGACTTGACACGAATTCGTGTTTCCATCTTTTGAACTACCTTGTTGTCACTACTCTTTTCGAGTTAGTTCCCGTTGTCACTAACCAAGAATAAGGATGAGAACTCATATATATATATATATATATATATA